TGTTATGCACAAGTCATTGTAATTTAAAAACTATATGACTTGGAATTTTTTCAATACTTCTCTTATGACTGTTGGAACCTCGCCGATCACCTGGTGACATTATATCGTCGACTTCAAGGACACCCTGTATAACTCGGAAAATGTCACATTGGTACTAGCCGTTGGTAGTCAAACAATGAACCAGTCAAATTAATTCAATTGGATAGTTTCCAGGGTATCAAAATTAAAAATATAATTAGTCCGTCAGTTACATAATGAAAAAATATTAGACACGTATTTTTTTTATTTCCTCGTATTACGTTGCAACACTTAAATAAAATGGCGCTAAGTTTAGGAGTGGGAGGTCGTTACGTCATAACGTGCTACAAAATGTGACACGCTGTGACGTCACACGATATTTCAAATTAATATATCTTCGAAAGTATTTAATTTTGTGAGAAAAGAAAAAATACGTGTCTAATGTTTTAAATTAATCTACCAGACGGACATTAAAATAAAATTTAGGAAACTATCCTATTGTCTACAGAAAAGAACTAATTCCGGTACCAGAAAAAGATTTAGAAGTGAATCCTGTGGACTACTTCCCAGCGGACGTGTCATTCCCGAAGCGACCGCCATGGGACTTTAATATGACGCCGGCACAACTAGACGCACAAGAACAGAGATATTTTAAGGTAATTTACACTTATTGGTTGTTGACATAAGTGCTATTTCTAATTAGCATTGATTTACATAAAAAAATACCTGGTTTTTATTGCTGACACCACTGAGGTGTCAAAGAATTCCATTTCCATTTTTTTTTATGTGATAAACCGGTATACGAGCAGATGGATCACTTGATGGTACGCAATCGTTGTCGCCCATGGACACCCGATACACCTTAGGCGTCATAAATGCGTTACTGGCCTTTTGGGGATTAGGAATTTGAGGATTTTTGGGGACTCAAGGATTGGGGAAATTGGGAAAAGGGGGGATAATTGGGCGTAAAACTTCACTCACACGACGAAACACAACGCAAGCATTGCTTCACGTCGGTTTTCCGTGAGGCCGTGGTATCACTCCGGTCGAGCCGGCCCATTCGTGTCTAAGCATGGCTCTACCACAAAAATCCATAGTCTGCATACCCCCATGGCAAACAGGCGTGAGGTTATGTATGTATGTATGTATATAATTTTCATTTTAACAGAACTACATAGACAGTCTCCAAGCGTCAGAGCACTGGAAGAAGATGTCATACTTCGAGCTGAACCTGGAGACCTGGAGACAACTGTGGAGAGTTCTGGAAATGTGTGACATACTGCTGCTTATTGTCGACGTCAGATACGCTGTGAGCTTTTTCTTTTTTTTAAAGTTTAATTTTGTTCAAATGAAATGAAATGAAACATTTATTTGTGATACATAGGTACATTTGGTTGGTCATTTTTAGATTACAGTGCGCTATGATTAGCCTATTTTAAGCATACAAATGCTCTAATAAGATAATAGGAGTTTAAATCAGTAAGTCCATTAAACTGTCAAACACCGCGAGGTCACCGGTGACCGCAACCTATTGTTCTATAATTGTGTCTTTAATGACGGTACTCGACGAGTTAAACTGTCAAACACCAAGCGGTCACCGGTGACCGCAACCTATTGTTCTATAATTGTGTCTTTAATGACGGTACTCGACGAGTTAAACTGTCAAACACCAAGCGGTCACCGGTGACCGCAACCTATTGTTCTATAATTGTGTCTTTAATGACGGTACTCGACGAGTTAAACTGTCAAACACCAAGCGGTCACCGGTGACCGCAACCTATTGTTCTATAATTGTGTCTACAAAACCGGTACTCGACGAGTTAATGGATTATTGTAGTCAATACGTTATAGCTATACATAAGTCAACAAATAAGCAAAATCAAAATTTATCCATTAACTCGTCGAGTACCGTCATTATAGACACAATTATAGAACAATAGGTTGTGGTCACCGGTGTCCGCTTGGTGTTTGACAGTTTAAACAATTGTTATAGCCCATCTTTTTAAAGCTCTATTAAAAGTCTTTGATTTTATATTCCTTTAACATAACAATGTTGATTTCGTAAGTAGTAGTTTTTTGTTTAATTCATTTACTAAAATTTTATTGTCCTTGTTCGATTGTACAGTTTTTATTTTTCACTTAATTGTAAAGTTAGTTAATCTATAATTGGCGACTGTATAAGCCCAATACCTATTGTTACCTTTTTGTATACAGAAGCTGTTGGAATACATAACATAACATCACGCCTTTTATCCCCGTAGGGGTAGGCAGAGGTGCATACAGAAGTGACACCCACTTTTCACTATTTATGTTATGAGTCCCATGTAATAGGGGGTGAGCCTATTGCCATATGCCGGGACCATTTTCAGACTCCGTGCTACTACTGAGATTTTTTTACCCAGTAATACTTTGCCCGATCCGGGAATCGAACCCTAGACCTCTTGCCCGGCAGTCGCACTTGCGACCACTCGGCCAACGAGGCAGTCATTTTGTTGTTGACTCCGTCTTTTAAAAATCCTCAGTAGTAGCACGGAGTCTTGAACTGTGCCCGGTATATGGCAATAGACTCACCCCCTATTACATGGGACTCGTAACATAAGTAGTGAAAAGTGGGTGTTACATTGTACAGTGGCATTTAATGCCGTAATGTGCACCTCTGCCTACCCCTTCTGGGATAAAAGGCCATTTATAAAACTTCATTTTCGTTCCAGGGCATGATGTTCCCGCCATCTCTTTATTCATACATACAGGCACAGAAGAAGGATATGATTCTAGTTCTGAACAAGATAGATCTAGTCCCCTCCTCAGTAGTGGCGGGGTGGAAGCAGTATCTGACTACTGCTTACCCCGCGCTCAGAGTATTGTACTTCACCTCGTGTCCTGCTTACAACCTTCGCGGAGTAACTAGCGATAAGGCAGGTCAGTCAAATGAAGACTTTTTTTTTTTTTTTTTAGGGGGGAAAATCATCGAATGACTGCTCCCGCCTGGGTGAGGCGGGAGGGAGTGTTAGACTCTTACTGACTAAAAACCACCCCGTTCCTTGTCCTGCACGTCGAGCCGGAGCCCCGGTTACCCGTTAGGTTCTCCGCGACTCCGAATCGGCATCGGCCCTATTGGGCCCCATCTGTGGTGGTCTGATGGCTCTTTGAGGCGCGCGCGGAACGCGACGCGCCGTACGCTCGGG